AGGTTAGTATTGTGTGTGGATTTGATCCTGTTCTCATGATGCTAGCTGTCTGTTTTGCAGATTTGTTTTATGTGGTTGCTTTATAGTGTCATAGTCTTTGTACTTTGGTGTGTTTTTGTAGTGGCAGGTAATGGTTCTTCCTTTCCATATTTAGTCCTTCCTTTAGGAGCTCTTGTAAGGCAGGTCTGGTGGTGACAAATTTCCTCAACACTTGCTTGTCTGAAAAGGAGCTTATTTCTCCTTATGAAGCTTAGTTTGGTTGGATATGAAATTCTGGTTTGGAGTTTGTTTTCTTTAAGAATGTAGAACATTGGCCCCCAATCTCTTCTGGTTTGTAGGGTTTCCACTGAGTGGTCTGCTGTTAGTCTGATCAACTTCCATTTGTAAGTTACCTGGCCTTTCTGTCTGGGTACCCTTAACATCTTTTCTTTCATTTAGAGAATCTCATTTGGAGAATCTGATGATTATGTCTTGGGGATGATCTTTTTGTGGAGTATCTTATTGGGGTTCTCTGGATTTCCTGAATTTGAATTTGGCCTGTCTTGCTGGGTTGGGGAAGTTCTCCTGGATAATATCCTGCAATATGATTTCCCAATTGGTTCCATTCTCTGCATCTCCTTCTGGTACACCAATCAGTTGTACATTTGGTCTTTTTACATAATCCTATATTTCTTGGATGTTTTGTTCATTCCTTTTCATTCTTTTTTCTCTGTTCTGCCTGTCTTTTTCAGAAAGACAGTCTTCAAAGCTCTAGGATTCTTTCCTCTGCTTAATTCTTCTCTGTATACTTGTGATTGCATTGTGAAGTTCTTGTAATGTTATTGTTGTTTTCAGCTCTATTAGGTCAGTTATGTTTTCTCACACAAAAGAAGCTGTCAGCTCCTGCATTAACATCATTTTTAGCTTCCTTGCATTGGGTTACAATATGTGCCTTTAGCTCCATGAAGTTTGTGTTTATCTACATTCTGAAGTCTGCATTTGCCATTTCAGTCACCTCAGCCTCAGCCCAGTTCCAAACCCTTGCTGGAGAGGTGTTGTGATCATTTGGAGGAAAGAGAGAACACTAGCATTTTGAGTTTTCAGTGTTTTTGCACTGATTTTTTTCTCATTTTCGGGGCTTATGTTCCTTCAGTCTTTGAGGTTGCTGACCTTTGAATAGGGTTTTTCATTTTTTTTCGTTTTGTTTTTCTTTTAACAGTCTGGCCACTTTTTCATAGGGCTGCTGGGGGTTGCTGGGGGTCTGCTCTAGACCCTAGGTGCCTTGGATTTTCCACTATCTGGAGGTATCACCAGTGAAGCCTTCAAAAAAGCAAAGATGGCAGTCCACCCCTTCCTCTGGGTGCTCCATCCCAGTGGAGTACAGAACTGTTGCTGGCCTGAATGCTTCTGTAGGAAGTGGCTGAAGGCCCCAGCAGGGAAGTCCTGCCCAGCAAGGAAAAATGGACCAGGATTCCACTCAAAGCCACAGCCTGGCCACGCCTCAGTAGAGCAGCTGTGCTGTGCTGGGGGATCTGGACCTTCCTAAACCTATACAGTGGAATGGCTGAGTCATCCAAATAGCAAAGGTGATGCCTCCCTGCACTCCCCAGACACTCCATCCCAGGGAGAAACTAGAATTCTGTTGGCTATAGAACACAGGTGGGGGTGGCTGGTGGCCCCAGGAAGTTCTGCCTCATGAGGAAGAATGAATTGGGGTCCATCTTAAAGAACTGGTCTGGCCACAATTTGGTAGAGCAGTAGTGCTGTGCTGGGGGATCCCCTTTGCACCCAGTTGTCTTGGATTCTCCCAAGTCCAGTTGTTCCAACAGCTGAGCCATCCAAACAGCAAAGCTGGTGGCCCACCCCTCCCCTCTGGGAGATCCATCCCATATCAGGTAGGCACTAACTACACTGTTGCCAGTGGCTGGCTAGAACTCCAAGTCAGTTGGTCTTATCTTGTGAAGTACTGTGGAAGTGGGGCCTGCAGTCTGAGGCTGCTCAGCCCATTGGATTTAGCTCCCTTCCTAGGGGTATATATGGACGTCCCACCTTGCCTGAGTTTCAGTCATTTTGTCAGGGATGTCAGATCCTGAGTATGTAAGGCTCCTGGGTCTCTGTGCATGCCTGAGCAGCTGCTCTGCCAAGACTTCATGCAGCTTTGTGTGTCAGACCCAAGGCCCTGGTGGAGTGGGTTCACGAGGGGATCTCCTGATCGAAGGGTTGCAAAGATCCATGGGAGAAGTGTGGTTTTCCAGAATCACACATTCACTCATCACTTCTCTGGGCAGGGGAGGTGGTTTCCCTTGTTTCTGTGTTGCTTCTGGGTGAGCTGTCGCCCTGCCCTGCTTTTCTCCATTCTCCATGGGTGGAGCTGTTTTCCTGATGAGTCCCAATGTGAGTACTTGGATGTTTCAGTTGAAGGTGCTGTATTTACTTATCCTTTTCATTCCTCTCTGTGAGAGCCATGCACCATAACTGCTTGTAGTTGGCCATCTTGGCCCCCTTCTGGCTAAGCCTAAGTCTATGTAATAGGGATCATACATAAATATACTCCATAAACACAGATTATAGAGAAGGATCCTACATGACATGTGCAATATGGCTTTGCATATGTCATGCATCAGTCAAAATTATTCCATTTTTACTTCTGGGTACTTTGACTATAGTGTTTGATATATGTTTCCACTTTTCTCTGTATCACAATTTTAGATTATTGAATAGACTCCTGGGCTAGACCTGGAAAATTATTCTGCCAAGTGTACACTATGTCTAGATTCATGTCACTGTGCAATATTGGTGTCCTTGTGACATTTGCAGGGAGATATAGGAGCAACAGAGAAATAAAGTCATCTCTCACAGCTGACATGCATATTCCTGTAAATTTATATGAATAGGAAAATAGATACACAAATTGGAAATATGGAATTCGATAAACAATCTCTTAAATGAAGTCACAGAAACTATGTGAAAATTTAATTCAAAATGTTGAACTCTGTCCTCAGTCGTAAGCACCTCTGCACAACAGGTCTATCTTCCGGAAGGGCAATGTATTTCTTCTCACATTTTTTTCCTTCTGTTTTCTCAAGAGCTTCATGTAAAAGCAGAAGACGCATGAAAATATATCTAGAGACTGGCCCTAAAGTGCTTTTCTCCACAGGAATGTCACACCAAGGCACTGCAGCCAGGGGTCCCAGGTGCCACTATAGAAGATTGGGTTCCCATCCTCAGTGAGGGAGAGCTGGGAGAAGGCACATAGCATTCAAATTTCCTTCAAGTCACTTGCTTAAGGTATACATTGAAAGTTCAGACTAAATTGGAAATCTTACAGAAGTATTTAGAACTACATATCAAGCCCAAGTCACTTTTAGCTATTTGAGACTGTGTACAAACCATATGGGTCTGTTTTCCCCAGAAGTATGGCTTTTGCAGTAGTGGTTAGGAGGATTCTTTTGTGAGATGGTATTTTTCTTAAGCAATAACCATTTAGATTCTTAGTTCTCTTAACTTTTAGGTTAACAACTCAATGTATCTTCCAAGTGTTGCTTGGTATTTTTTTTTGCAGTTTGACTATGAGTTTAGGTGGTGTCTATGGCCCATTTAAACTCTGAGACTTGAGATTCTGATGTGTATCCATCTGGTTACATTGTATAAATAAAGCCAAGGTCAGTCAGTGACTTGACCTCACTACCTTTTCCAAAATTTCTAGTTGGCTAGCAATTTTTAATGCTTGTTAGACACATACTTCAGAGTCCTTGCCCTGCTAATGCAGTCATTATTAATAGTGAAAATGACATTGTGTTGCCTTATTTAATGATGTTAACTGAGTAAATAATTATAGAGCACCTATTCTGGGAAAAATTAAAATATACAAAATGATAATGGTCTGTGTCTTAAGAAGCTTAAGGGGAAATATGACACATTAACAAGTTGTCATGAATTAAGGCATCATATAATAATAAGAGAAAGAATAAACTATTTTAATAAACATGTTCTAAAGAATGGAGCATTTGGGTCTTGAAAGGGGGCTAGAATTTAAAAGTATGAGTTGAGAGACAAAGCATTCCAGTTAGAGGTACTAGCAGAAAAAGTAGCTCTGAGGTAGGCATAAGAATTGTCAAATATATATTTTTTTAGATTTTATGAAAGTATGCTTATCCATTAATGCTGAAGTGCTTGTCTATGTCAACATTTTGTTAAAGAGTTACCCAAGTTCAGAAAATATATCTAGGGAATTTTTAGTTTATATTCTTTGATTTTACCATGGATCTGAATTTCTGTTATTTAATTGTTTAGTTACTTTAATTATTGCCGTTATGTTAAAGATAACACATCATAGAATATCCACTTTACTTACTACCTTCAGGAAAATCAAATATGCATTTGTGAAGTATCAACTATTTTCTCTGCAGAGGTGCTTTTCAAACTACCCAGCATGAAAGACTTATTTTCTGTAAAATGTAAAATATTGTGGCAATGTCAGATTGCTATAAAAGGTTTTCAAATCTGTACTACTAGGTACTGCATAATTAGTTTGCAGATTAGGACCAGTTGTCTTAGTACAATTCGAGTAGCTACAGTAAGTAAGGAATTGATACAAAAGAAATAAGGCGTATTGTCACCATCATTGGTATAAGAATGTTTTTTTCTAGGCATTGTGGGATGAGAAGAATTTGAAAAGAAAGGCAGACAACATTCTTTAGGGCAGAAACCAAGTGAAGCATTGTGTTAGAGGTGAGCATGGTGTTCACCTCCAACAAAAGAGTCATTTTCTACAATATGCTTTAGCAGTCAAGAACCTCTAAATGTCATTATCACATGCAAAATTTGTTCTGGATCCCATTTAAAAACTTTGGGGTTACTGCCTGACTTCCTGGACTCATAGCCCCTACCCACCATCCCTAATGGGCCGTTTCACTCATGGAAAACAAGTTTCTATACCAGCAGCTGAGGATGCATTTACTCTGTGTTCAGCCCTCTCAAAATACAGTTCTGTAATCAGAATACAAAAAAAATCAACAACATCAGCCCAAAGTTCATTACTGTGTTTCATTTAATACTGAAATCATGCAATGATTAGAACATGAAAGTTTGTTTTAAAAAGTATATTCAATAGATATTATCTTTAAAACAGAGCTCTTGACCTATGAAGTATAAAAAGTAATTACAATAAAATATTCTTCAGTAAATCTGACACTTTGGGAATCCAGGCAAAAGGATCGCTTGGGAGCCAAGAGTTCAAGACCAGCCTGGTCAACATAGTGAGATTCTGTCTCTGAAAAAAAAAATAATAATAACATAAAACAAAAGTTAAACAAATCAATAAATCTGAGATGCACTGCTGTAATGCACTAGCTTTCCCAGTTCGTATTCTGTTAGCCATGGCTATTCCTGATGACTAAGTGGTAGTAAAAGCCAGATAATTATGGAGGTCTACTGAGGAGTCCCCTATCCAAGTTAAGTTTTCCCATTATTTATACTTAAGAAAAAATTAAGGTGAGATTGGATTTTAAACTTCCACATTAAAAACAAAAGAGTGGAAGGAAAATGGTGGGTGGGAAGGGAGAGAAATCTAAATAAGACATTTACTTCACCATTTTTTTTTTAAATGACATGGGATGCCAATTCCAAAATCACTTAATCTTAAGAACCACTGCAATCTAAACACTGTTACAAGAAACATGCCAAGTGTTGGTTCACTGTGGTAGGTCTCCAATCTTACTTATATTTTCACTGTATTAAACTTGACCCTTGCATGGGTTTACCCTCCAGCCTGTGGGTCTTCACTGACTAGGACCCCATCTACCTGCATGTTTTGTTCTCCACTTTCTTTGCTATCCATTAGCCCCTTCTTTAGTGTTTGATCTTCAGGTCACCACTTTCCCTTTTATTTTCTCTGTTTCTTTAGCTACCCTATCCTAGAACAAATCTCCCAGGGATGAAAATGGGGACTTCGGAATTGAGAAATAAAAGATGTTACTACAACCTTCCTATCTTTGTTTTTGGTAAATTCACTCTTTCCCTGTTTCTGTCTCTTTCTGTCACATATATGCTCATACACACAAAGAAATTTACAGGGTAAGAGAGATTAGGAAGATAAATTTGGTGGTACAGTCAGGAAGAGGTTGAAGAGGTGCTAATATTAAAAGACAGATTTGAATAAAATGTTTTTAGAATTCGTAGGTGTTGGGATAACTCTACTGTAAAATGCAACTGGTTAAAATTATCTTTTTATGGACAAACTGGGTCTCTGTCTCCTATTGACTGTGAACAAGTTATTCAGTTCACTAAGTCTCAGCACCTCATCTCTGGAGTGAGCATCGTAGTAACTCCTGTCATAAAGGTTAAATAAATTTGTAAAGGACAGATTACGAAGTATATATAAAGTATTTGATACTGTTTTTGTTATTAAAATACTGATAATGTCTGTAATATTTTTAAAGTAAAGAGGTATAATGATTTATACTTCTGTTTATTCTAGGAGCTCTTAGTTGAGCTGGGAGGTTTCCCAACTTTTGTTTCAAATATTTAGATAAATAACAACTATCTATCTATCTGTTTATTTTGAGATAGGATCTTACTCTGTCACCCAGGCTGAAGTACAGTGGCCTTTGTCTTCCAGGCTCAAGGGATCCTCCTACCTCAGCCTCCCAAATATATGGGACTGCAGGTGTGTGTCACCACCCTCAGCTAATTTTTTTTTTTTAATTTTTTTGTAGAGATGAGGTCTCACTATGTTGACAAAGCTGGTCTTGAACTGAAGCAGTTCTTGTGCCTTGGCCTCCCAACATGCTTAAAGACATGAGCCACTATGCCTGGCCTTTTATTTTATGTAGATCACCTTCCCTTACTGAGTATCATATAACTGTTATTATAAATCTAAACAAGAGATTACATGTTTTGGCCAGGCATGGTGGCACATGCCTATAATCCCAGCACTTTGGGAGGCCAATGGGGGCAGATCACTTGAGGTCAGGAATTTGAGACCAGCCTGGCCAACATAGTGAAACCTTGTCTCTGCTAAAAAAAAAGTCAAGTATGGTGGCACATGCCTGTTGTCCTAGCTACTGGGGAGGCTGAGGCAGGAGAATTGCTTGAACCCAGAAGTCAGAGGTTGCAGTGAGCTGAGATCATAACACAGCACACCAGCCTGGGCGAATGAGAATCCATCTTAAAGAAAAAAAAAAAAGATTACATATTTCATTCAGTATTCCAAAAGTAAAACAACAGTATACCTTACTTTACAATGAATCTATAGGTTATTAAGCTTTTAGCACTGCAAATATTGTCACATAGTAACAGTTAAACTTGAAAATATGTGCAATTTCTACTAAAAATAGAAAAGCCTTGTCTTTAGAAACTTTCCAGGAATGTTATAACAGAAGTTATATTTTCCATAATTTGGGCTTAATTAATCTTATATATTGTAATTTATTTAAATAGAATTTTAATTTTTGAACCCTTCTAGATTTAGAGAAACATTGTGAAAATAGTGTAAAGTTCCTGTAAGTCCCCACACTCTTCTTTCCCCATTACTAACATTTTATATTAGTGTGGTGCATTTATTACAATTAAACCAACAATATTGGTTATAGTGCTATTATCTAAAGACCACACTTGTTTCAGAATTCCTCAATTTTTATTTAGTTTCCATTTTCTATTCTAGTATACCTCCTAGAATCTCATATTGCAGTTGGTCATCATGAAAGAGACTCCAAGTCAGTCAGTGCTGAAACAGGGAATACTGAAAAACAACCAACATAGGATACAAAAGGAAGACTCAAAGCTTCAAGAATGATTTTCTTTCAGTCTAAAATCATTTTCTATCTTTCATCCTATCAGCACACATAACTTACACGCACTCATAATCTGCCACAAATTACTGGCAGATTGTAAAGGGGGAACAGGCATGTCACATGGTGAAAGCAGGAACAAAAGAGTGAGGGGGGAGATACCACACACTTCTAAACAACCAGATCTTGTGAGAGGTTACTTGCTGTCATGAGGAGTACCAAGGAAATAGTACTAAATCATGAGAAATCTACCCTCGTAATCTAGTCTTCTCCTTCCAGACCCCACCTGTAACATTGGGGATTACAATCTAACATGAGATTTGGGTGGGGACACATATTCAAACCACATCACAGGGTTTTCCCTATGTTGCTTAGTCTGGTCTCAAACTCCTGGCCTCAAGTGATCTTCCTGCCTCAATCTTCCAAAGTGTTAGAATTATAGGCGTCTGCCACCATGCCCAGCCAGAAATTTCTTTCTCAAGTGGCTTTTCCTCTCACTTGATATTTTAGTTTAGAGATCTCCCAACTTACAAAGGGTTTGTGTTCCAAAATTTTGTTTCTAAATCAGGTAGGCTCACTTTCCTACAGAAAGTGAGATGAAGTCAGTCCCAAAGCAAGCAATAAAAGACCTGCCTCACAGGTGAACTATGATGTTGCTAAGTCCATCAGAAGTAGTTTGACTTTTGCTCTTTGTTGAATGGACTACTGTGGGCCTGTAGAGGCACCTGACCACGATTTATGATATTTCTTACAAGCAGGTCATGCTGTCATGTGTGGTCAAAAGAGAATTAGTGATGACAACAGGGCTTTCTCTGCCTCTCTCCATCTTGATTGCCAATGTCCAGGGAAGTTCACATCTACAGTGGTCAAGGGCTGGCCAAGTAGATGCCCACCAGTTGCTGGATTATGCCTGTGAACTACTGGCTAGCATCTGTTCTGAAAACCTAACTTCTGGTTTGCTTGTTCATTCACCAGTATTTCACATAATTTTCTTATGACAATCTGGCACCTACTATAGACCCCAAAAGAGTTTAGGAGGATTTAACCTTTAGGCAAAAAATACTGGCAGTATTTATAATCCCCTCAAAAAGAGGAAGAAAAGAAGAAAGAAGAAATTTTTTTAAAGGAAGAGATAACACCATGTAACTATAAATTACTTTCTATATTGGACTGAATATTAATTTTTGTTTTTTCTTTATTTTGACTCATTTAGTGAGCTAACAAACTGGAACAAAAGAACTAGTTTTAACCAAACAACTCTAAAAGATTTCAGAAATTGAAAACTTAGTGTTATGAATAGATTTGATTCATTTAGCCTCAAAATTATCAAAACAAGTATATAAAATATTAATAGTCAATTTTCCACCAAAACCATTGAGCTATTCAGAATTTCAGATATCAAAATTCTAAGGAAATGTTCTGTTGCAGAATCAAATCATTTACTAGGCTAAAATTAAGTCAAATACCATTACTGGGCATTGCTATTAGAACAGATATCTTTCCATACTTTGGTGAAATTGGAAATACTCTTGCAGAAGTGTTTTCATCTCACCCAGAAAAAAATAAATAATAATGATTTTTTCTTCCTTCCACTTAATGTAAAAATTCTACCTTTATGTATATTACATCATCCCTCGTTTTGTGATTATTTGTTTATAGATTTTCTCTAGGTGCTCTCTGAGCAAAGAGAACAGGGCACTGGTTAAGACTGTGGATCTGGGGGATCACAGATCTAGATTCTACTCCAAATTTGACTCCTCACCTGCTAAGCTTGCAAGTGCAACTTATTTAAATTCTCTGAGGGTTAAATGTTTCATCTAAATAGGGATAATAATAAATATCATAGAGTTGAGATTAAATGAGATAATACATGTAAAGTTATGTGCCTAGCACATAATTTAGCTAATTATCCAGTTAACTCTCACATGAGAAGATAGGCAAATTGGATTTGCACACACTAGAGTCAATCCCTGACACCCCTGAGGGTGTGATTGAGCAGAGGTGTTCTTGCTGGTTTCTGTAACAGTATCTGCCTTTGGCCAGCACCCAATTTTTGGAACCATTATGAGCACACAAAAACAGCATTTTACACAAACCAAAAAATAGCTTCCAGCCATGTCTTTGTGGCATTGTTAAACATCAGTAAATTCTAATTTGACTTATATTTCCTTTAATTAAATAAAATGAGAAGAGGGCTCAAGTTCCCCAGAAAGAGATTGGAGGGAACCATAATCTTTCCTGTGATTAGATACACCACCAAGGAAATCCGACCCTGAGCAACTGAGAGCTGCCTATTCTCATTAAGAAGAGCTACAGACTGACACTCAAATAATAGTAACTGGACATTTATTTCTTTCACAAATTATCTTCTTTTCTCTTTTTCATGTGAGGAATTCTCAGGGATTATAATCATCATCAACATAACAAGCCTCCAAAATCACATTTTTTAACTTTTTGAAATGCCCTCCCACCTAACTACCCCATTTGACACTTGTAGCCATCCTCTGGAGAGGCAGACAAGATTGACCATCTCACTTTACAGATGTGCAAAGATTTGAGTAGCTGGCCTAATGCCACAGCCAATGAAAACATGAAGAAGGCCTACAACCACCCAGTCTTCCCTGATCCTTCCTCCTCACTCCTCCCCTCCAACCTCCTTACGTCACCACTGACCAGTGGATTGCAATGTGGCTGTTCAGCATCTTCCTATGCTGTGTCAGGCAAGAGAACTGGAAACAGCATCTCATGTTTATTAAAGAGATTGGGTGTCCTTGTAGAAAGTCCTGCCAGGCACAACACCAGTCTTAACTGATGTGTTTCACCATACTGAAGGCAAGTTGCCATCTAACGTAGTTGAGGGGGAGCCAGTTGTGGTGATCTTTGTTCCTGCTTAAATATGGAAAGAAAATCAGGAAATGAGCTCGTTTTCAAAGAAAATGAGCACCTGTTTATAGGAAAGAAATATAAGCAAAATGACAGGAAGAAAACAAAGCTTAGGGTTGGTGTGAGATACACAGGGTGTTAGCCCCACATACAGGGCTACTGGGCCAAGTTAATTCCTTATTTTTCCCTATATATGTGGTGTGGAAAAGCTATTTATAAAATGTGTTTAAATATTTAGGACCAAATAAATAAACATTGTTGGGAAACACTAACTCTGACCAGACTCATTTCCTTGCCCTAGTCCAATGTGAAAAACAGAATGAAGAATATCAGGATGATTTGAGACCCAGAATAATACAGATGTTCAACACTTTCACCTGGAATTCCCAAAGAGGCCTGCTTTTAGCCTTCATACTGGTTGGTGACCTGGCATGACAGAAATGACAGAAATCTCAGAAGACTGGCTTCATGAATAATCTTTAGTATCAATGTAACAAAGCAAGCCTTCTGGAAATTACCTGACTCTACAGTTCACTCTGCTGCTTTAGGTGAAAATTTTCAGGACTGTCTGCCACTGTAGTGAAGGACTGCTTTGGGTAGTGTCTGTGGAGAAATTTTTTAAAGGACATAGTTAAAATATTATGCTACAAGACAACTCTTAAACACCATTTTTTTTGTCCTAGCTCTCTGTGACAGTGAAAGGGGCTGTGCTCTTGGCAAATGTCATATCTCTGTCATGATTCTGGATCTCCTTCTGTTCTCCTGATTATCTGTCACTCACAGTTATCCCCACTCTCTTCCACAACTTTAAGCTCAGCTTCTCTATTCTAGGAGCTGCTTCTTGCAGGCTCGAGGCTCTCCTACCCTCCATCGTTCCTCCCTCTACCCCACACATCCAGCATGTGTCCAGCTAGTCTATCCTTCAGGCACACTTCCTTAAAAAGAGGCCTTACTTCACTGTCCCTACCCATCTTCTCTCTGACTCACTCCTTAACTCCATAACTGGGTTCTGGTTTCTTTTTCTTGCCTGTTGTAACTTCTTGTGGACACAGCCAAAAACCATAACAGAATCCTGTTGTATGGCATCCCCTCCAACTTGAAATGTCCTCTCCCTTAGTTCCTATATGTTAACACACATGCCTGGCTTGGCTTCTCCCTCTAGTTCTTCTTTCCTGTCTCCTATGGGCTACTTGTTGTCTGCTCACCTCTCTTTCAGTGTCCTCACATGGGCCTCCTTCCCTTCTCAGCTGACACCATCACCTGGGGAATCACACTTACTCAGCAGCCATGGGGCCTCTCTATCTCTATTCTGGTCATGCCCATGTCTGAGCTGCAGACCCAATGGCATTTCCATTTGTGAATCCCATGCCCAGCCCACACTTCACCAGTCTCAACTGCAGATGTTGAGCCCTACCTGAGTACTCAGATAAGGTCCTCTCCCTGGATCCTCCTTTTCCTTCATGAGTGTTCAGTTGCCCAAGTCAAAAACCTGGGAGTGATATAGACTCCCCACACATCTGGTCAATCACTTATCAACTCTATTGATTCTGTCTGCTAAATATATTTCAATTATATTTACTTACACATATGCATATATCTCCTTCTTCACTGCACTTTAATTATGGTCTGCACTTACCTTTCAGGTAACACTGGCCACTCTTGCCCTTCTAGTTGGAAGTGCCACAATGATGAGAGCTAGCCATGACAAACCCACAGCTAACATTTCACTGAATGGGCAAAACTGGAGGGCATTCAAATAGAGGAAGGAAGAGAGGAATAAATAGGAAGTCAAACTGTCTCAATTTGCAATGACATGATTCTATATCTAGAAAACCACATAGTCTTCGCCCCAAAGCTCCTTCTGCTGATAAACTTTAGCAAAGTCTTGACATACAAAAATCAATGTCGGAGGCTCACGCCTATAATCCCAGCAGTTTGGGAGGCCAAGGAGGGTGGACCACCTGGTCAAGAGATCGAGACCATCCTGGTCAACATGGTGAAACCCCATCTCTACTAAAAGTACAAAAATTAGCTGGGCATGGTGGCGCTTGCCTGTAGTCCTAGCTACTCGGGAGACTGAGGCGGGAGAATTGCTTGAACCAGGAGGCAGAGGTTGCGGTGAGCTGAGATGGTGCCATTGCACTCCAGCCTGGGTAACGAGCGAAACTCCATCTCAAAAAAAAAAAAAAAATCAGTGTGCAAAAATTACTAGCACTCTTATCAACAGTCAAGCAGAGAATCAAATGAAGAACACAATCCCATTCATAATTGCCACACACAGAAAAAATAAAATACCTAGGAATACAGCTAACCAGGGAGATGGAAGATCTCTACAAGGGGAATTACAAAACACTGCTCAAGGAAATAAGAGAAGACACAAACAAATGCAAAAACATTTCATGCTCATGGATAAGAGAATTAATATCATTAAAATGGCTATACTGCCCAAAGTGATTTATAGATGCAAGCTATTCCTATTAAACTATCAATGGCATTCATCACAGAACTAGAGCAAACTATTTCAAAATTATGGAACCAAAAAAGAGCCCTAACAGCCAAGCAATCCTCAGCAAAAAGAACAAAGCTGGAGGCATCACGTTACCCGACTTCAAACTATACTACAGGGCTATAGTAACCAAAACAGTATGATACTGGTACAAAAACACCTCACCATTTTGAGCTGTTTCTTCAATTCTCAGATTTTTGAGAGTTTTTAATATGAAGAGGTATTGAATTTTATTGACTTTTCTGCATATATTGAAATAATCATGTGGTTTTTGTCTCTAGCTCTGTTTATGTGACAAATCAGTTTTATTGATTTGTGTATGTTGAGGTAACATTGGATGCTGGAGATGAAGCCTATCTGCTCATGGTGGATTAACTTTTTGATATGCTGCTGGATTTGGTTTGCCAGTATTTTTGTTGAGGATTTTTGAACTGATGTTCATCGAGGATATTGGCCAGAAGTTTTCTTTTCTGTGTGTGTCTTTGCCAGATTTTGGTATCAAGGTAATGTTGGCCTCATATGAGTTGGGGAGGAGTTTCTCCTTCTCAGTATTTTCAAATAGTTCCTGTAAGAATGGTACCAGCTCTTCTCTGTACATCTAGTAGAATATGACTGATAAGTCATCACGTCCTTGGCTTTTTTTGGTTGGTAGGCTACTTATTACCGATTAAATTTCAGAGCTTATTATTGGTCTGTTCAGCAAATCAGTTTCTTCCTGATTGAGTGTAGGAGGGTGTTTTTGTCCAGGAATTTATCTATGTCTTTGAAGTTTTCTAGTTTGTGTGCATAGAGGTGTTTGCAGTAATTTCTGATGGTTGTTTCTATTTCTGTGGGGTCAGTGGTAACATTCCCTTTGTTATTTCTAATTGTGTTTATTTGAATCATCCTCTTTATTAGTCTGCTAGCAGCCTTTCTTAATATTTTCAAGAAACCTACTCCTGAATTCATAGATCTCTTGAATGTTTTTTTCATGTCTTGATTTCCTTCAGTTCAGCTCTAATTTTTGGTTATTTCTTGTCTTCCTCTAGCTTTAGTATCTTATCTTGCTTCTCTAGTTTTTCCAGTTGTGGTATTAGGTTGTTAATTTGAGGTTTTCCTTTTTGATGTGGAATTTATTGCTATAAATTTCCCTCCTAACATAGCCTTAGCTAGGTCCAGAGATTCTGGTATGTTGTAAGTTTGTTCTCATTATTTTCAAAGAACTTCTTGATTTCTGCCTTAATTTCATTATTTACTAAAAAAGTCATTCATGAGCATGTTTAATTTCCATGTAATTGCATGATTTTCAGCTATTTTCTTAGACATGACATCTATTTTTATTGAACTGTGATCCCTGTGTGTGTTTGGTTTGATTTCAGTTGTTTTGCACTTGCTGAGGATTGCTTTATGTCCAATTATGTGGTTGATTTTAGAGTATGTGGCGTATGATGATGAGAGGAGTGCATATTCTGTTGTTTTTGAGTAAAGAGTTCTGTAAAGATCTATCAGATCCATTTGATTTAATGTCGAGTTCATGTCCTGAATATCTTTGTTAATTTTTTGTCTCAATGATTTGTCTGCGACTGTCACTGGAGTGTGGAAGTCTCCCAGTACTACTGTGAAACATACTTTTTAGGTCTCTAAGAACTTGTATGAATCTGGGTGCTCCTGTGTTGGATGAAAATATATTTAGGATAGTTAGGTCTTTGTTGAATTGAAGACTTTGCCATTATGTAATAGCCTTGTCTTTTTTAAAAACAATTTTAAGTTCCTGGATACATGTACAGGATGTGCAGATTTGTTACATAAACATGTGCCATGGTGGTTTGATGCACCTATCAACCCATCACCTAGGTATTAAGCCGCACATGCAGTAGCTACTTATCTTGATGCTCTCCCCCAGCCTTCCCAACAGGCTTCAGTATGTGTTCTTCCCCTCCCTGTGTCCATGTGTTCTTACTGTTCAGCTCCCACTTATGAGAACATGTGGTGTTTGGTTTTCTGTTCCTGTGTTAATTTGCTGAAGATGATGGCTTCCAGCTTGATCCATGTCCCTGCAAAGGAATGATATCATTCCTTTTTATGGTTGCATAGTATTCCATGATGTATATGTATCATATTTTCTTTATCCAGTCTATCATTGATGGGCATTTGGGTTGATTCCATGTTTTTGCTATTGTGAATAGTGCTGCAATAAACATACATTTGCATGTATCTTTAAAACAGAATGATTTATATTTCTTTGGGTATAAACCTAGTAATGAGATTGCTAGGCCAAATGGCATTTCTGATTCTAGATCCTTCAGGAATCACCACAGTGTCTTCCACAATGGTTGAACTAATTTTTGTTCCCACCAACAGTGTAAAAGCGTTCCTGTTTCTCCACAGCCTCACCAGCATTTGTTGTTTCTCAACTTTTTAATAATTGCCATTCTGACTGGCATGAGATGGTATCTCATTGTGGTTTTGATTTGCATTTCTCTAATGAACTGTGATGTTGAGCTTTTTTTTTCATGTTTGTTGGCCACACAAATGTCTTCTTTTGAGAAGTGTCTGTTCATATCCTTTGCCCATATTATGATGGGTTGTTTGTTCTTTTTTAGTAAATTTGTTTAAGTTCCTTGTAGATTCTGGATATTAGACCTTTGTCAGATTGGTAGATTCCAAAAATGTTCTTCCATTCTGTAGGTTGCTTGTTCGCTGTGATGATAGTTCCTTTCCCTGTGCAGAAGTGCTTAAGTTTAATTAGATCCCATTTGTCAATATTTGCTTTTGCTGCAATTGCTTTTGATGATTTTATCATAAAATCTTTGCCCATGCCTATGTTCTCAATGGTACTGCCAAGATTTTCTTCTAGGGTTTTTTTTTTTTTTTTTTTGGTTTGGGGCTTTAACTTTTTAATCCATCTTAATTTTTGCATAAGGTGTAAGGATGAGGTCCAGTTTCAGTATTCTGCATAGGGTTAGTCACTTTTCCCAGCACCATTTAAACAGGAAATCCTAGCTGAGCATGGTGGCTCATACCTGTAATCCCAACACTTTGGGAGGCCCAGGTAGGTAAATCATGACATCAGGAGATCGAGACCATCTTGGGCAACATGGTGAAACCCTGTCTCTACTAAAAATACAAAAATTAGCTGAGTGTTGTGCCTGCCTGTAGTCCCAGCTACTCAAGTGGCTGAGGCAGGAGAATCACTCGAATCTGGGAGGCAGAGGTTGCAGTAAGCAGAGATTGTGCCACTGCACTCCAGCCTGGGGACAGAGTGAGGCTCCATCTCAAAAAATAAATAATTAATTAATTAATAGGGAACCCTTTTCCCATTGCTTGTTTTTGTCAGGTTTGTCAAAGATCAGATGGTTGTAGATGTGTGGTCTTATTTCTGTTACCTCTATTCTGTTCCTTTGGTCTATGTGTCTGTTTTGGTATCAGTACTATGCTGTTTTGGTTACTGTAGCCTTGTAGTATAGTTTGAAGTTGTATACCATGATCCCTCCAGCTTTGTTCTTTTTGCTTAGAATTGTCTTGGCTATTCAGGCTTTTTTTTTGGTTGCAAATGAAATTTAAAGTACTTTTTTTCCCAATTCTGTGAAAAATATCAATGGCAGTTCAATGGGAATAGCATTGAATCTATAAATTACTTTGGGAAGTATGGCCATTTTTATGTGATTGATTCTTCCTATCCATGAGCATGGAATATTTTTCCATTTGTTTGTGTCCTCTCTGATTACCTTGAGCAGTGGTTTGTAGTTCTCCTTGAAGAGGTCCTTCACACCCCTCACTAGCTGTATTCCTAGATATTTTATTCTCTTTGTACAATTCTGAGTGGGAGTTCATTCATGATTTGGCTCTCTTGTCTATTGTTGGCGTATAGGAATTGAAGAATATTGTCTATTGTTGGTATATAGGAATGCTTTTGATTTTTCCACATTGATTGTGTATTCTCAGAGTTTGCTTAACTTATCAGCTTAAGTTTTTGGGCTGTGACGATGTGGTTTTCTAGATATAGAATCACATTGTCTACAAAGAGACAATTTGATTTCCTCTCTTCCTATTTGAACACACTTTATTTATTTGTCTTGCCTTATTGCCCTGGCCAAAACTTACAATACTATTTTGAATAGGAGTAGTGAGAGAGGGCATCCTTGTCTTGTATCAGTTCTCAAAAGGAATGCTTCCAGCTTTTGCCCATTCAGTATGATATTGGCTGTGGGTTTTTCATACATGGCTCTGATTATTTTGAAGTATGTTCCATCAATAC